GCACTCTACCCAGGGGGATAGCTTGAGGCTCTGTCTCAAAAAAAAAAAAAAAAGGAGATTATATCTCTGCTTTTTAGAATAGCTAAAGTGAAAAGTCATATAATAGTAATTGTTAATGGGAATGTGGAACAAATGGGATTCTCATGATAATTGATAGTGTAGGCTCGGCACCCATACAGCACCAGCCACATACACTGTAGCTGGCAGGTTCAAACCTGGCCTGGGCCAACTTAGTTGTTGGGGCAGGCAGCTGTAATCCCAGTTACTTGGGAGGCTGAAGCAAGAGAATCGCTTAAGCTCAAGACTTTGAGGTTGCTGGGAGCTGTGATGCAACAGCACTGTATTGAGGGCAACAGCTTGAGACTTTGTCTCAAAAAAAAAAATGTTAATAGTGTATATTGGTAACATCTTTGGAATCACACACGGTGGCTCACTCCTATAACCTTAGCAGTTTGAAAGGCCGAGGGTGGGTGGATTGCTTGAGCTCACGGGTTTAAGTGTAGCCTGAGCAAGAACCAGAAGCTGTCTCTACAAAAAAATAGAAAAACTTATTCCCTGGAAGTAAGAACAATGTAACCTACATATTGTACCCTCATTAATTCAAATAAAGTTAAAAAAATAGGCTTGACACCTGTGGCTCAAGTGGCTAAGGTGCCAGCCACATTATACCTAAGGTGGCAGGTTCAAATCCAGCCCAGGCCCACCAAACAACAATGACGGCTGCAACCAAAAAATAGCTAGGCATTGTGGTGGGCGCCAGCTACTTGGTAGGCTGAGGCAGGAGACTTGCTTGAGCCCAGGAGTTGGGGAGGTTGCTATGAGCAGTGAAGCCACAGCACTCTATCCAGGGGACAGCTTGAAGCTCTGTCTCAAAAAAAAAGTTAAAAAAGTAAACATAGGCCAGAGGATCACTTGACCCCAAGAATTTGAGGTTGCTTTGAGTCAGTGTGGTAAGGCTGTGGCAATCTGCTCATGGCAACAGAATGAGACTATCTCAAACCCATACACTTCTATCAGCAAGCCCTTTCACTCTACCCAGTGGTTTTGTACCTTCATCTGAAGATCACATTGAAATGGTACATTGGTGAACTTTAAACAGCCAAAACCTAAAAATAACCCAAATGTACATGTCTGGAATAGAGGAGTCCATTGTCATATACAACAATGATAATCAATAGACTACAAGTATGATTAAAATAAGTGTAATTTTTTTTTTTTTTTTTTTTTTGAGACAGAGCCTCAAGCTGTCCCCCTGGGTAGAGTGCCGTGGCTTTACAGCTCACAGCAACCTCCGACTCCTGGG